TCCAGGAATTTTTTTATGTTATCCTCCATCAGTGGTGTCCTGTTTGCCCCATGCTGTTAATGCTTGCCTTGGTTAATTTTATTTTCTAATCTTAATCCACACAACATAATTCAAGATGTCAAAGAACTGCCACAAAAAACTAAAAGTTCCAAAAACAGGCACTGCCCATTATCGCAACATGCAGATATGGGTCGAGACCCCATTAAAGAAAGAAAACACACATGATGACCTGAGGTAAATTCACAAAGATAAAACAATTACAACAAGTATTGTTTAACAATCAACCTCTGCTAAGTCAGTGAGGTAAATCAAGTTAAGCCAATGTCAAGTTGGCAGCATACCTATACTGTAGAGTAGGGAAAATAAAAACAAGTTTCAGTGAAGGTATTTATTTAAAAAGTATCAATGAAAGTGCAGATGTTGGTTGGCACTGAATGTAGATCAAGATAATTGTGATAAAGATTTTTTTTGAGTAGGATCAATATCCAGTATTTTCCAGTTGGTTTTAATCTTTGCTGTCATCATTTCTATTTGGATAAAATATGTTTTTTCAGTTTCTTTCTTTTTGTGAGTGTTGTTTTGCACGTTAAAGCAGCATAACTTTTAGGTATAAACACACTCTAGAGAACAATTTCCTTCGGGCTTAGATTATATGTGGGGGCAAAATCTAAACAGACATTTGTCACTGATGACAGAGCATTTCCCTGTTCATAAAAACTATCGAATAATTTCAGCTCCCTTGAAGTGGTTCGTCCTGGAGTACTATGTGCGGCAAACAGGCTCTCCTGGCTGCAAACCCACAAACAAACTGAACTAAACTTGTTCCAGCAGTGAGCGGTGTGTCACTCTGGACAAGGCCCAGATATCTGCTTTGAATCCCTTTTTTAACCACTCACTGCTGATCTCTGTCTCTCTCTGTTATTTCACCCCACATATCAAAGTATTGTTACTATAACACAGTAGACACGTGTGCCTGCTTCTTATCCTTTGGTGTTTATGGGCAGCTGAAAGTAAGAAAAGGGCTCATGAAAGTTCACTGTTCCTTAGTTGATTGGAAAATCACCAGTAAATGGTTAAACATGTGGAGCCATCAGCGCCTAGGAGTTTAAGGGTACTCTGCAGTATTTCAGCCAAAGTTGGGCAAAACTTCATTAAGACTTGTAGTTGCTTATTCTGAAATGTGCTGAAGTGTAACGGCTTATTTAAAGACAACTTTTAGTGCTTTCTATGTTTGGATCCTACAGTATGTCTGTTTGGTGACTGGGAAAACTCAGAGTCTGTCTAATACAGCACACGTAGTTTCGTAGAATCCTAAACTTTTGGGCACTTACGGAGCCTTCATAATGCACTTAGACCGGCAGAGTTTTGCAGCACCTCACAGGGCAGGCAGTGACTCAGCGGTCCATGGCTTAGGACGGCTCACAGCACAGAAGGCACAACCAGTACAGATTGTCTAGACAGGACGGATCCAGGTGTTGTTTTAGTTAATCGATGGGCGGAGATTTAAAAACTCCTCATCCATGGTACAAACAGACAGCACCAGCGAGGGTGTGTTGCATTTTCAGTTTAAAGCCTCTTCGAGGAGGGATATAGTCCTTTTCGCCAGCAAAAACAGACCACAGCTCAAGGTTCTGCACAACGTTGGATGTAGTGTCCAACTGGATGGTTAGGTCTCTTTGTCCAGCACATTGGTCACCAATGAAAGAAGAAGAAAAATGGGGTTTCAGTGGTTTTAAAGGAGGGCGGGGTGCATCAAAACTGATCTGTATTCTCATGCCTCCAAGGGAAATTGCAATTTGATCCATAACAACCTGATTAATGTTGAATCCATAGTCAATAGACCTGTGCATTATAAAGAAGCAGATTCATTTCTCCTACTAATGCGCTCCATGCACAGCTCCATTTCCTGAAGTTCAGCAGCTCGTTTGCTCCTTGTCTTTCATTACTGGACAAGCTGATTTATCCAGGTGTGTCTGCCTGGCTACTGAGGTCCGTTACTATAGTTATTCTGGTAAAATCTCATCATACATAATGTTAGCAATACTATTATTTTTATTATTATTTTGTCACCTGATGAAATACTAAAAGTGCTATTTACCACAATATTTAGAGCTACAAACAAAAACATCGTTATAAATGAACAATAAACAGGTGGTTATCTCTTCCTCCATCATTCTCAGATCATGCAGATCTTGTCTCATTCAGTTTTCCTGTTGCTTTTCCTGTTTTCCTTTCCTGATTCCTATATTTTAATGAGACACTTGTATTCATTCAAACTGAGTAGTAGGATTTACAACTATGCTTGGAAATTTATGCTTATAAATCCCAACCATAACTCAGCAAAGCAACTTCTAATAACTCTTCTTTCAATAACTATTTGAAAATATAGACTAAAGGTCCCCAATAAGAAACCTGTGGTCTTGTCCTTTATGTTAAAAGCAGGGCAACCAGCTACCGTAACAGCTGTTTCTGTGCACAACATGCTTATTTACTCTTTCTGCCGTAAAAAAAGCCACGCAATATTTTCCCTCTTATTAAAAAAAACGTCAAATCAAGGACGTTTCCAGGGACAGCTTTAGTTGGGGTCAGGTGGTCTAAAAGGTGGGCTGTCCCCAGAAATCGAGGACTTCTGTTCCCCATACTAAATATGTAGGAAGGTGTTCACATTTTAAAACGGTCAAGCAGTCATTTATCCTTGTAATATACTTTATGTAGATTAATTTATTGTATATTTTTTTATTATTTATGTATATCTATTTTATACAATTATATGTATAACATATATATTATATGTAAATCATATAGCCCATGTTTTAAAAATAACGTTCAAACTAAAGTCTTAGCGCTTTGAAAACTGCTGTTGGTATTAGCCTAAACACTTTTGTGCTGCGCAAAAGTGTGCAACACCTTATGTTCCTCATCCCATCTAGCTTATGTCACTTTATCTCTAACTCTGTCATACTGGCAGGTGGCAGTGATTGACTAGTGAAGTAACTTACTAATATAGGCATTACCCAGTGATCAACTCTCTGCTAATAAAAATAAACTCAACACCTTAATTTGTCCACCAATATGTGAGGATGGTCCTGTAAGGGAGATGTGCATTATTTGTTTTCTGTCACCCATTGACTTTTTGTTATGTATTCTCTGATCAGGGAAGAGTCATCCACATGTTTGCAGAGGCTTTGGTTTCGCTATTATCAATAATGCCCACATTACTGTAGGACACATTCAAAGATGTCTTGAAAACAGATTGTCTCCCCTATGTTGTATTCCCTTTGTGACTTTAGATAGGCAACCCCACCACATGATATTGCATATCTTAACACTAAGGAATTTAAACAATACCATTGTTCCTTTTTCTCTCTCGTCAGTTAGATTATAAATCATTTCACATAGAGATATATTTTTCCTTTGTGGTTTATTACAGGAGTACACATAACAATCTTGGTAACAAAAAAGACAAACTATCACAAGACATTTATAATTAAACTAAATGAACATTTCTTCCTGTAAAAAGAATTGCAAATATGTACAGAAGGACATAGGGCAGATTTAGAAATAAACAGGGTGAAAGGAAGAGGAAACTGTAGTCGCATGGCACTTAAAAAATAAACTTATCTGGCAAGTGCTTTCTGTTTCTATAATTAATGAAAAATAAAATGCAGTGATAATATGTCTGGATAACAAAATAATAATTATTACAGTAATCAAATCAACAATATCAATATTTTAAACACTGTTTACAATATAAAATGAAATTCATGACATTCTAAATACATCCAATATTTTACCAAAGACATTCTCATGTTGGCTAAAACTCAAAATCTGCAATAGAATAAAAATAGCATTTCAAATATCTCATAGCAACAATATTAATTATACAATAACATTAATATTAGGTTATTAGTTTATGTAAATAGCTATTTTCCCCATAGTCTTATAAGGAATAATGTACAAGTTAATACACACCTATTAATAACCCTATTAATGTTCTTTATGCTTAAAAAAAGTTTTAAAAATAATTGACATATTAAATCTCACTCAGTACAATCTATAACTTTCAATTTGAAAATGTATACAAGAAAAGCAGCAAAAAAAAACATTTCAGTTTTCAGATTTGTATTGTTGTAAAAAAAAAAAATCAGTGGTGTGGTAGAGAAAAATGAAAATGGTATGGCACAGGCAGTCAAGGTTGTCCATTAGTAAACACCTTTTGAGCGGTCCTTTTCTCTGGCTCTTTAGAACAGTCCTAGAGCAGTCTGGAATGTCTGAAAGTTCCTCTAGAAAGCTCAAGAACTCCACTGAGGAAAATCCACCCCCCAATATGTGGAATAACTGAAAACACAAACTCCAAAGGTTCTGATTGAACAATCAACTCAATCAACTTTACTCTTCTTGATCTGAGTCTGCTTTACCATTTTATTACTGATTTGAGGAACAACAAGAGCATAAACACCATTGTCCTCAGTGGTGGTTGTGTAATAACAGAAGTGCACAATAAAGACAAAGATAAGGCAGCAATTAAGCAGCATGTATGTAGGTCTCTTCCATTACACTTTCACTCTAACCGCTGATCTGATAACCTGGTTCCAGCATAAGAAGGTGCACTGCTTTATTGGAGCAAACCTACTATGAAATAGGTTTAAACACTCAAGAAATTTAGTTGAAAGTAGTGTTTAATACCTAGAGCACAGAATTCAATTTTGAAAACTGAACATTTGCTATTTCCCACTAAACACCTGTAAAGAGAATGATAGATGGATAGAAAATTGCATGAGCCTGAAACAAAATTGAAGTTTGCTATGTAGTTTTTCCAACTATGAAATTATAGCTATCAAAGAATGTCAGAAATATATCAAAAAGCAGATACTCTAATTACTTTTACATTGTCTTTGCACCTGAGTTTCATGTCAGCATCACTAGGTTAATAATATTTAGGAAACATTCAAGCTCCCGCTTCTTACTGTTGGGAATAGGCAACCTGTGCTTTTTTTTTAATTAATTTTTTTCTTTTCTTTTTGTAATTGCTTTACTTTGTCTTAAAAGAGAAACAGAGGTATATATGTGAATGGGTTTTATATATTACCAAATATATTATTCATTGTTTGAAAACATGATCCCTAAACTACATTGTTAAGTGTGATCTGTCATCCAGCTGTTATGTAAGTCAACCAATTTTCCACCCCAATTTTGGGGTTGAATCAGATTGTTTGTTTCCGATTCAGACATATACATTTGGTTCTTAAACCCAATCAGGCATTAGAAACTGGGTTGCCTAACTAAAGATAATTGATTCTTAAACCAAACTAAGTAGGCTTTGTTTATTAATATGACCATTTACAAACATTCAGGTCCCAGACTAAGCAGATTTAGATCCTAAACCTAATGAAGATGGTTTAACCTTGGTTCATAAACCTAAACATAGATCGGATGCACATATTTTTTTTTTTTTTACAACTGGTGAACCAAAAAGGACTATAACGAACAAAGATGTAACAGTTTTTTTTTTCTTGATGCACTCTTTAAACTGTTTTTGCAGAATGTGTTGCCAGTTATGTAATGTGAACTTAATGATAAATGTCTGCTTTCTGCCTATAATGGTACGAGCACCAAAGGTTTTTTTCCAAAGATACCATGGACTGAAAAATTCCAGTAAATCAAAGCGGTTTTGCTGTTGATCTTTCTTTTTCTTATCTTTTCTCTTCATCCCTGTATCAGAAAGAATATTACATGTTTTAGCTCAAAGGTGCAAGGCCAGCTTCTGATTCAAATGACCGGATATGCTTAAAATGTAATGAAAAATGTTTTTTTCCATAAAATCTCTTGTACCTAAAATTATTTGTTGAATGTAAGCACAGGCAAAATGGTTTTGAAATTATATTCCTTCTCTCTATACCCTGTTTTATCTCACACCTCTTCCACACTATTACTTTTCTCATCTCAACACTTCATCTCACCAAAAGTCTGTTGTGCACTACACTGTTTCAAATTATATTAGATAGCTTTTTGTACATTTACTGTAAGTATAATTCTTCAGAAAACACACAGAACAGAGCACATTTTTTAACTTTTTGGCAGTTTTCTCCTCTCATAAAGAAAAGTCCTGATCATCAGTTGTTAGAAGACATGAAGAGTCTGAAATTATGCTCCAACTTGGCAGAACAAAGGTGAAAAAGGAATGATTATTCCAAAATATTAGTTTTTCCTTTCATCTGTCCTCTTTCTAATGATTTACATCACCAAACCTCTCCACTCCCCCCTCATAAGCACATGCCCTTATTAAACAGTTGTGCCAAGCAGTTCTTCTGACTTTTCCAAAATCTCGTTCTGGTTGGAGTCCAGGCCGTAGAACTTAACCTTTAGCCCATCGACAGGGTGAACCACAGGAACCGTGACAACACGTGGGAAGTGGCGAGTGGCTAGCTCAAAGCGGCTTGTGCTGGCCAGTTCGATGGCTAGAATGCGAAGGAAAAGTGTGGCAAGCTGCTTTCCCAGACAGGATCGAACGCCACCACCAAACGGCAGATAGTGGAAGCGGCCCTCTTTGTCTTCGCTCCTCTCCTGACTGAAGCGGTCAGGATCGAAGGCCTCCACGTCTTTAAAGACAGCCGCTGTGTCATGAGTGTCACGAATGCTGTACATAACACTCCAGCCCTTGGGAATCTGGACGCCCTATAAAGGAAAAAAAAAGAAAAGAAGAACATGGTTACAAATGAATTTGGCTAATACAAATAGACAGTTTTAGGGGGACTGTAGGCCTAGTGGGTTAGAGCAGTGCACTTGTGCTCTGAAAAGGTTGCAATATCCACTTCGATCCCCACAGCCTGCACTCTGGGTTCCTGAGCAAGCAACTTAACCCCCGACTGCTCCCTGGGAGCTGCACAATGGCAGCTCACTGCTCCACAAGGGGATGGGTTTAATGCAAAGGTAAATTTATCCAATATGAGATCAATAAAGTTCAATTATTTTTATAAAATTCTTGCCATTTAAAGTTTAAGGGCAAAGCCCAAATATTAACAAGGTTCCTTAAAAGGCCTGAGGCAGAATTAAATATCTAAAAATGCTATTATCACCATTTTAATGTTGCAATGAATGTCAAATTCAGTCACTGATTTATACTTAAGTTAGTCTATGATAGCTACGTAAGCCTGCCCCCCTTCAGGAAGCACCTACCTCAGTCCCACTGTTTATGAACTGTTAAGAAACACAGACTGAGGGTGGTGATTTAAAACAACGGCTTTGGCTCTTTAGCAGCTAATCTACACAGCACATCAACTTTTATTATTTAAGGGAATATTAAAGGCATAAAAAAACATATTTTTTTCCCCCAGTCTCAGACTTTGTCCCACCTTTAGAAGTGGTATTAGGTGACGTCATGAAATGACCACAAACAGACTGGGAGAGTAGGCCCTTGCCTTGAAGGAAAGGGTTTTTCTTCTGGGTTGAAAGAAATTGACTATATTTCATGACAGATATATACTCCATAGCATTAAGAGAAGTATTCTATCATATATTTGCATATAAAAGCAAGACAAGCAGGACATTTAAATTGACTCCTAACAACCTGAGCAGAATGGGGCCTGACACTGTTCCATTAGGTGAGATGGTTTGATACACTCTTTATTTTAACAAGTACTTATTGCATGTTAATCTGGATGTTGAGAAATTACTGGACAAATGACATGTATTCTACATAAAAACTTACATCTAGTTCAAAGGTCTGCATGGCTGTTCGGTAAGCACCAGAGACTGGCGTGTACAGTCTTAGCACCTCCTTGATGACACAGTCCAGGTACTTCAGGCTGACGATCGTATCAAGCCTCAGCTCTCTTTCAGGACAGAGGCAGCCATTGTTGAGGAGTCCCCTGCCTCTCAGCTCCTCCCTGAGGCGCTCCAGAACCTGAGGGTGGCGGAGGAGCGCCATGATAAGGGAGGTGCTTGCGCTGGCAGTAGTGGCGAAGGCAGCGAAGATCAGCTCGATGGTTGATTCCTATGGAGGCATGAAAACAAGTTGATCCAGCTATCCCTTATTATCAGTTTTAAAACAACTACGACCTGCAGGCTTCTACAAAAAGGGGCAATTTTGTGATTAAATGAAAAAAAATAGTGATGATCTTTTTCAATCGAATAGCAAGCAAATTACAAAATATATTTTTTTGCTTCATCTTGAAGTTTGGACACAAATCGCTTTGATGTACCAACAATACCTTTGATGCTGACTTTCTGAATACAGAAAATAGACAGTCTCTACCAAGATGTGAGTTTTGCTTTTATCTATTATTTTGAAAACCGCAGTTGGTTAAAAATAAAATCATAGCAATTTGAAGAATGACACTTGTTTTAATAACAAATCTTCTATTTCACACCTTTTCTCTTTTTTGTCTTGCAATTATGACTAACCAGTTTAGAACTTACAACTGAAATATGTAAATATTTTTGATTTCTGAAAAGTGGCACTTTTGTTTTCCAATAATACAGAAAGCCTGGTGTTGATCCTAAAATAAATAAGACTAGGCTGAATGCCCTAGATTGCAAATCTCCCCATTGTCAGGGTCTGTGCTTCTCTCTGCATGTGTGTGTTTGAAATGCGTCACAGACCTGAAAGGGAGAGCCTAGGCCTCTACGACAGGGCCTCCCCAATTCAGTTTTTTTTTGCACATTTGAGTGTGCACGCACAGGAGGGCTTATTCAGACCCCTAGCAAGAGCAGTGTTGACTTATTTTTGGTCCTGGACTTCACCCAAAAGCCACAAACAGTGAAGCAGAGAGGGGAATAGGCTTCCACAGAATTCCTCAAATAGGTAAATAGTGGGTGTGCCTATCCTTCATTTGCTCCCTATTTTACAAGAAACTTGACAAATATGTCTCATTAGATGTTTGCATTTATTTGAAATACATATATTCATTGAAAATATTGTTGCATATCTCTGTAACTAATTCAGTGAGTTCGTGTGTGTTTGGCTAAAATCCAAAGTATTTGTTTAAGCCCTCTTTTTCCTTTTAAAAGGTGTTTTTTTCAAGCCCAAAAACAGCAATCTGCAATTTGTGGGTCAAATTAGATGTGGGAGGAGTCAAACCCTTGAGCACACTACAACTCAACATTTGACTCTTCCCACGTTTCATCTTCCACTTTGACACTTTAAAATTATATTTCTTACCATCTGCATGTTAAAAAATATACAGTCAAGTGAATCTAACATCAAGTAAATGAAAATCTGTAACTAGTGCTAAGATTTATAGATGTAACAAGCCTCTTTGTATTTTATTATACAAGCCATGTAGGTAAATGCAAGCATAAACAAATGGAGCAATTAATGCAGAGGAATATACTTGTTTTTCTTATTGAACACCTTTTACAAAAAGAAAAATGTTTTTAAGTTTTTTTAACTGTTGTTTTTGAAAAAGTTTTAAAAATTTTACAGTACAAGTAGGACAAACATGCCAGAGTTTTTGATAGAGTCTAGGCTGTGGTCAGTTTTTTGGCTCTGCCTATGTATTGAATTCACCATGAAATGAAGACTATGGGGTCTTCCTACTATCTTTGCAGAGATGTCTTACCTTGAGCTCCTGCATGCTAAGCTCAGAGCCGTTCTCTTTGGCACTCTCCATCAGGACATCTAAAGCATCACTATAATCCTTCCCCTGGGAGCGCAAAGGCTTTTCTCTGATGGCTTTTTCTATGCTTTTTTGAAGGGTGTCTCGTGCACGAATACCCTGGAAACAAAAAATACACAGAACCACTCTAAACAACTAGTCAACCATGTCTTTGTATATTATGAGTATAGAGCGCTCTGTTCACATTGGTTGTCTCAGAGCAGGCATGAATCATATAGGGAAAAGTTTTGCAAGGGGAATCTGCAGTTTCGAAATCCTACCTTCCTGTAGCCACTGAACGGTAGATCAATAGGCAGGCTGAAGAGGTTGTTTACAAAGTCTTGAAAGGTTGAAAACAGGTGTCTCATTTCGTCCTCCCCCACTCTGAAGCCCAGCAGCACCCTTACCGCCATGGTGAATGATAGCCTTTGGCTCTCCCTGTGGAATAACACCCACACAGTTACACCAAAGACATAACAAAAACCTGAGAAATCTTTATTTGCAAATTTGGCAAAACCTAAGAGACCAAGTCTGGCCAAGAAATGTTGTACTAGTATTGGTGCAACTACCGGAAATAAAGAACAGCTAGGAAATCTTATTTCTTCTTTCCAAAGGCAATAGAATTGCTACAGACCCATTGACAAGCAAATCATAACTAACTTTCTTCCTGTTAATACTGGTCTACAAAATTCTGTTTTATATGTTTCTAATTGTTTTTGGTTTTATTATATGAATTTCGCAATTTTATTAAATGCTGGTCTTTATTTTAGATCTTTTTTAGCTGATTTTACCAGATCTAACAAGTTTGTTTGTTTTTATATGAAAGATAGATCTAGTATCAATATTAAATTTATTAGTTATATTTCTCTATCACTTTTGTTACTCATACACGGGTTCCCCTGTCATATCTTAGGTTTGATTAGTAATAAATAGCTAAAATGAGTTTTTTGTTAACGACCTGCAGGAAAAAAGGTTAACAAAATAATTTATTTTGGATTATTTGCACACAGGCCTCAAGGGCTGTGAAGTTAAATGCATTTGTGATATTGTGTAAATTGAACAAAAAGCAGTCTCACAGAGACATTCTGTTTTGGTCACATTGCATTTAACAAGAGTAAGACACAGATTTTCAAAATGTAGCCCTTTAGATGGCACTTATAATACTCTTAAGTTGGGTTTAATGCCACACCGAAGGGAAGAGTTGCAGCTAGCATGCAGATCCAGGCATGCAAGTAGAAGAAATAACTTGTCAACAAAACAATAACCAATTCTAAAGTCCACAGGGATAAATATGCTGAGTCAAAGTACATAAACTCTTTTGGAGTTATTACAACAAAAACTGGAGTGAGATACACACTATGTAGAGTTCTAATTTAAGGCTAATTCAGAGTAGGACTAAATGCATTCTTAAATTGTTACTTTAACACTGCAAAATTGGCTCTCAGGAAGAAAGCTTTTAAGTTCCTGGATAGAATGAAACCCTGGAGTGAAACAACTAAATGCCAAGTGAAAATTAAAGTCAATATAAAATCATAATTGCAACAGAGTTTGAAGAAAAGATTGCAATTTTGCTTTATGGCAAAATCAGTCAATATTGGTACAAAAACTTCTACTTCCAGTCCAAAAACATGACAGTCAGGTTAATAAGTCACTAATCCTTTCTTTAGGGTGAGGTTCTATGAGGGTGTGTTGCTATTTGATTGAATGCAACCAGTCCAGGACGTAGACCACCTCTTGGCCAATGACAGTAGTAGAGCTCCAAAGTCATAGAGGATTGTTTAAGCCTACTGCGTAACCTTCCTGGACTACTGGCTTACCTGTAGACATTGATGGGTTCAGGGTTGGAGCTCCATACTCTGAGGCTCTCTTGGATGACCTGCTGGATTTTTGGGAGGTAGGACTCCAAGGCTTCATGGCTGAACACTTTAGCAAACACCTGCAGAAAAAAAGTCAAAGACAACTCCAATTAAGATAGATTTCCAACCCTGTGTATATAAAAACCTGACAAGCCCTGAAGAAGCTGCAGTCACCACAAATGCTTACTTAAGACCACAAATCAAATCCATACATCTTTCTTTTTAAAAGAATTATGTGTTAAAAAATGAAATCTAGTCAAAAGTTAAACTGTGGATTAAGGAAGTCATTTCTATAAAAAAAAAATTCCTCCTCCATTTACTTGCTTACTCTTTTCTTTCTCTTCCTGCTTCAATCTTTAGTGAAAATGTAACATTTAAAAGCTTTTTCCTTTGCAGTCAGCAAAGAAAAGACTGATAGAGTGAAGAGAAAAAAGTCTAGTGAAAAGCACAAGTAATGCCTGCTAAGACCTTTTTTTTCAGGATGAATCAATCACCAGTCGTCAGCACTGTTTGAACAAATAACATTCCATCAGATCCAAGCTCCTTAACTGCCCTTAAAACTGTTCTGGGTATGGTTCAGAAAATGACGGTTAAACATGGGATCTTTATAATTCTTTTAAGAAGTTTCTAAAACATACCTTTATCTAAACAAAGACATTTTCACGGATCTGACAGTCAGAGCTATTGGAGAACGTAACATAAAGATGATGCCTATTGGGTCCATTTCAGGAAACCAGTTTTCAGTTCAAGTTCCACAGATTTTCCATGACAAGGTTTGAGTGAATCAGGAATCTGAAGGAGGCAAAATGGCACATCCTCCAGCACAATGCTCAGCAAACAGCTGCACATGGTTTGCATTTTCTGCTTGATGAAATGAGTCTGGAAGGCCTGAATAAGCTTTTTTTTTTTATATCAGAGCTTCTGTGCGAAGACTGGTGGCCTGTCAGGCCCATCAGCTACCTCTGACACGATCACAGTAGATGGGGGTTCACAGAAAAGTCACACATCAGTTTCTCTTTCCTCATTTTCTCTTTTTGTTATAAATTAAACCTAAAATAGGGATAGTTGACATTAACATCTCTTTTTTTTAAGGAAGCCCTGCCGTAGCATAACAATGCAGCAATTTTAAAATTACATCAAAATTATTTAGAATATAATGAAGTACATTTATGTCAACAAAGGGGCACTACATTAGTCAGACATAAAGAGGGAGGAAAGGAGTTCCCACTGGGATTTGATCCATGTGGTTCACCATCACTTGGGCATTCATCCTCCTCTTTTTTCCCCTTACCTCATTCTGCTGCCCTTTATGTTCCTCTTTTACTGCTCATTTCTTTAAATCCTGTGCCCATCCTTCCACTTAATGAATAAACAATGGTCTACTGAGTCCCCGCTGCTTGCATGAAAGTGTTTACGTTTTAGTTATGTCTGTTAACTGTTTGGGTATGTTAGCACGGCTGCATTTCATGTGGCTGCTACATCAAGTGGCTGCAGGTCTCAAATCAGCAAATATTACACGGCATCTTCCTCTTTAAGAGGAGATTACAAACAGAATCTGACCTCAGAGTTTTAGTTTTGGTTCTTTGTTCAAAGAGGAACTGCAAATGGTTGCTTTCATCCAGCTGTTTACAGTGCTAAATGTCTAAAATCGCTAATATGTATAAAAAATATAGTTATTTTTTTAGTGTTATTTAGAAACTGTTTAAACTTATTTCTTTTTTAGTGTAAAACTGGTTGATGTTAGCAGTTATTTATCAATTTTCTGTAAATGACAAAGATCCAATTAAAGTGAATTTCAAAAGAACTATACAGCTTTGTAGGATTTTGTAGCATTTTGTTTTTTAAATCCTGTCTGTGAGATACAGCAAAAATTCAAAAAGAGAGAGTTATAATGAGGGGGATCTTTTTTCTAAAGTGTCTATCACAAGTCTGTTGCAGGAGAGGGTCTTCCAAAACCACCCTTCTTCAAAATAATTCTAATTATATTCAGAGGTAATGTTTAATTAGTACTTAGATTCTGTTCTTCAGCAGTACAAGCAGTTAAATATGAGAAAGAAAAGAAAGAATTATATAATTTGATAAGATACAGTTGGACATTGGAAAGTGGGCGGAGTGAAGGCCTATTGGTTAGGGCATAGAGCTTGGAAACCTGAGGTTCTGAGTTCGAGCCCCACTCCCACAGACTGCCACTCTGGGTCCCTGAGCAAGACCCTTAACCTCACACTGCTCCCCGGGCGCTGCACAATGGCAGCCCACTGCTCCCCAAGGGGATGGTTTAAATGCAGATAGTGAATTTCGTTGCTCTGTACTTGTGACAGTGTAATGACAATAACTGCTGGGGAAAAAAAGAAATTCATTACCCTTGAATTTAACCCACATTCATAATTTAGAGCTGATGCAACTGACGCTTAAACTTTAAAATGCTCCACAAATTCCTTCTGCCATGTTAATATTAATCAATGTGGTTCTGATTTATCCAGGATACAGTGCAAGATGAAAAACGGTGTGACAGCAGCTTAAAGTTGGACTTCTTCACCCAATTTCCAATCATTTTTTTTATAAATTCAAGAAGAATTGTCATTCTGTAAAAATAATATATGTAATGAACCGTGGCTGTGTCAGCATAAAAGACAGTTTAGGATTGAAGTAATCCTAAATTGAATATTTAGGCCTCTTGTTACCACTAATCTCAAAGACAGATTTGGTCAAATATTTGAGTTTAATCACAGAACATTATCCAGACTAACATGGCTTTCTAGACAGAAAAAAGGATATTTGACAAAGTTATTCCCAGTGATGAGAAAATAATATAAGTTTTAGGTCCTGTTTAATTACTTTGAGTGAAAGTGAGAAAAAAAAATCTAAGTCCAAAGAAAACCATCTAAAGACCAACAAAAGCCCCTGAAGAACTTTGGATTTAGACCACTTTAAAAGATTACAAGATGTCTGGTTGTAAATTCATCCGTCTAACCTGTCTGTGCTGGATTGTTTATCATTGCTCGGGCTGCCTTCCCTGCTGACACTCAGACATGAATAGACAGGGGGCAGAAGGGCTGCGCTACTGTAGGACCAAGGAGTCAGTCTGTCACTGTGTTGCACCCTTAAAGGTAACTACAGGTCATCCAAACACACACCCACCCAGCATCTCTCTGCAAAACCTGGCTGCCAATCAAACGCTGCTTTACTGCAGCGTCATTCTGGGACGTCCAGGTCCCAGTTTGGATGAGGGTAGAGGGGTGGTGGAGTGTGCTAAAGGGGGATTGTTCTGTACAAGTCATTCTACTGCACCACAAAAACGTGACTGTCTTCTGTAGCCTGCAGCGCAAAGACAAAACACACACTCACGAACACAGTTGTCCTAATAACGTCCATATGTCTTAAATTATGTGAAAGTGCTGCGAGCTGCTGGTTCCACCGACATGTAAAGACTCCTTTATTCTTTTTCTCTGCCCTCAGTGCTCCCACCTCTTCCCGTCTCTGCCTGCCCCCTTCATCCATCCTCTTTTCAGAAAGACTGCTTCGCTCTCTTCTTTTCACTTCATACTGTACGTATTTCACACTTCTGTCATCAATCTGAATCAGTGATGGCTTTGTTGGTGAAGGGGTCAAGATGTCTGAGCGGCCAGCCGATGTTTAAGTATTAGCTTCTGCTTCCCCGACAATGTTTTACATCTCAGACAAGAAACCATAAGATTCAAGTGTCTTGTTTCTAAAATGTTAAGTAGGCCGACTGGCTCCCAACACCCATATATCTATTTGACGAGTTTTTGTTTTAAAGTAACTGCCCGAACACCAGACATCATTGGTTTTTGGGCTAAATCTGGTCGGTTCGTCGTAGACTTGGTTTAGTCCAGGAATATTTGTCGATAATTGGGCTGTATTTGGTCGGTCTTATTTTGTCCAACTTTAGTCTAATAAAAGATGTTAAAAACCCAGTCTTCAGCGTCTTTCACTTTTCAACCAATTGTACATGTCATTTGGAAGTAAATGATGTCGCCTTTTAATGTCTTTTCAAACAATTTTTGCTTGGATGCGCATTATACAGAGAGAAACTGAAAATTGGTCCATGGTGACTCTTGAGAAATTGCAAATATACTTAGGTTAGTAGGGACAATCTGTCAGTACAGCAGCAAATAAACTTACACTCCACAAATTTGGACTTTATGGATGTGCATTAAGAAGAAAGCCACTGTTTAATGAAATCTACAGGAGGTCATGTCAGTAGCATTTCAATTTGTCAAATGACACTAGAATTGAAGTCTTTGGACAAAAAGGAAAACTTGTGGTCTAAGTGTAACAATTTAAATGCACCCCTTCACTGGTACAACATGGTGGCGGTAGAAGCATGCTGTGTGGGATACTTTCTTGATCTGGAAGTTTGTCAGAATTGATTGAAATTTGAATTGGATCTAAATACAGGACAATCCTGGAGGAAAACCTTGTTGAGGCTGTAGAAGACTTGGGACTTGTACAAAGGTTCACCTTCCAGCAGGACAAGGACTGCGAACATACATCCAGGGATTGATGAAATGTTTTTAATCAAAGCATTTTCATGTGTGCAGAATCTGTGGTGCATCTTAAAATGTCTCAATTAAGTCTCATTAATAAAAACCTAAAAACTGGTAGAGACAGATGAACCAAAAGTTGCTTTTAAACCTTTATTTTTTTATTTATCAAAAACTAAAAATCAGTCTTCATCTACAGTACCACATAAATGTTGTGCTCTATCTGGTGCCTTATCACATAAATGCAAATAAGTACAGTGAAATTTTTAGAACAAGAACAAAACCATGAATAGTGGTTCATGGTTAGTATAGTGAGTTGTTTTGCAGTTTTTCTTAATTAAAGATGATCTTGTTTTAAACTAATTCTACTCCACTACTTCAAAAAAATGTTTCCAAACACTTCTTTACCATCATTATGATTTCAAGTAACTTTTTAACTACTTTAACTGAATGATTTTACTGATTTAGACCAAATATCTATTAGATTCTTTAATAATGTCAAAAATCTCCTATTTATAAAGCTTCAAATTTTGCAAATGTGTTACATTTAGACCTGAGAGATGGAGAGAAACAGTTAGAAATAGCAGTGCCCCCTACTGGTAATAACAATTATTTGGAAAATATGTGAGGCTTGATGAGGCATCACCTCACTGCATTACAGCATATAAAAGCCATCTTTTAAATGTCTGCATTGCCTGACAAGTTCCTGATTTAGATTTACAGAGTAAGTTGACAGCTTTTGTTTCTTGTTTCTGCTTATTTATATATATTTATATAAATTACATTACCTATAATCTAAATTATAGATCATTTGGCATTAAAAGGAAGAGAGTTTAGTCTGACAAAGACATCATTCATTGCTACATATTTTCTGATGTTGGTCAGACAGAGCTGACTGACAGTGACATACACCTGGTTCAAATTTTGATTCAACAAAACTTTTGTTAGTTCAGTGGCATCTTTACAAGACTAAAGTGCTTCAGATTGATTAGATCAAGCTTTTGTATTCTTGAAGGCAACAGACATATGCATGTTACAGATTTGCTTTAGTCAGTTTGATACTCCTGAATGTTTGGCACAAAATGGTCTTTCTTGGAAACCCAGCCCTCTGTGGTTCCTTAAGAGACTTAGCTTTCCAGCTCAATACTGGGTTATATGGAAACTGGCTGGCTCTGTTGATCCACTAAAGGCTAATGTGCTGTGTGAAGATTGTTTTTCCGTGCGAAAACCTCAGGGAGGGCAGACATACACACTCGGGTCCAGTAGGTCAAACAGTAAGCCAATTGCTCATTCTTATTCTCAGTCGCTGTCGTCCCGTCTCAGTCTGTTGACTTGGTTTTATCACCCAGAAAACTGGACTTAGTACTGCCAATGAACACACACACTGACCAACTGTAGCCATGAAAACTACCACACTGCATTCACACACTCCCTACAAAATCATGCTTTTGTTAAGTAAAATATTGGTCTTTATTTAAAAAAGATAATGATTCTCTTGGGCTAAAGGGAATAGATCTGACAACTGTGTGTGTTATTTGCAGTATGCAGCATTTCTAGCATCTAAGTATGAATAATCAGTGACAACATGTTTCCATTTTTCTGTCATGCTTAATCTCGGCTGGGGGCGCAAGGGGTGCTGGTGCCTAACTCCAGCAGTCTATGAGCGAGAGGCGGGATTCACCCTGGACAGGTCACCAGTCCATTGCATGGCAACAGATAGACACACAGGACAAACGACCATTCACAGACTGACACCTGAGGAAAATTTAGAGAGGCCAATTAATATAACAGTCATGTTTTTGGACTGTGGGAGGAAGCCAGAGTACCCGGAAAGAACCCAAGCATGCACAGGGAGAACATGCAAACTTCATGCAGGGAGACCCTGGGCAGGAAATCGAACCCAGAACCTTCTTGATGCAAGGCAGTAGTGCTACCCACTGCTACCTGAGCACCAACATCTCAAAATCAAATTGATAGCTAGAATCAAGTGGACAGTTATTTAAAATCATTCTAAATGCTGCTTTAAATAGGTAACCTCCTTCATAGAATGATGTTCAGTTTCAGATATTTAGTTGGAAGCGTCACTAGCTGACCCTGTAGGTCAGTATTCAATAGGCCTGCCACACATTTGAATAGCTGTACATTTGCTTGCTGTAGCCCCTCCTTTTCACTTATTTCACTGATTGTGTTGAGTGAGTAGTAATGTAAAATCACTGATTATACTTAAGTTCAAGAAAATGTTTTCATAGCTTGTATTAATTGAAGTTAAAGCTATCCAAACACAAGCTTATATTTACTCACAATATATATATATATTTCAGATGCATAACATTAAAGGCTTATACATTTCAGTTCCGGAGTTGCAAAAGTCAGCCTAATAGCTATGACCTGTTGATTAAACTAATTCTGATAAAACTAGCATTTTCGAAAAGTTGAAGTTAAAAATGATTAAAGTAAAACTAACAACAATGCAAGTTTGCAGAGACAAAAACATAAGCTTTTAGGTGAAATAATAACCAGTTAAGAACAAGCTCAGCTCAAAGCGGGGCATATTTCACGGTTTACTTATAACAACTTAAACAATTTAAACACAATTGGTCCCTTTTGCACTAGACATGTATATATGTTTGTGTCAAAATGTATTCCTATATACAATATCTGTGTGGCTTTGCTAATTGATAAATTGATAAAAGTTCATAATTCTAGCCTCTAATTGAGTTGGGGAAAAAAATACAGGTTTACACTTTTTAATCTGCTCCTCTTTTTTTTTCTTTCCTCCAACAGACATTTTGGAAACTTTAAGTTAAAAATCAACATACCGGTACGTGTTTGAAAAAATTTTAATTAGCTACTTGACTCTTAAATTGTTTTTATGGTCTGTTTATTTTTTTTATTTACTGAAACTATAAAATTTTTAGTTGAAGTTATTTTAGATAGTAAAGCCATTCTTTTAAGCAGCTGACAGTGGAGATAAGCTTTACTTTATTTCACTCTCATTTTCACTAGACTACTTTAACTGCTGCCTACTGAATGCAATATTGGGAATTTTGAGACTGGCTTTGCAGAACCAACTTAAAAAAAATACCATCTATAGTCTAAAACATGAAGACAGTTTTTAATTTGTTGTATTCTTCAGTATTATATTACCAAAACTCAGCTCCCTTGTCATGTTCTTGGAAATCTCTTTGTAGTGAAAGTATAACTTTGTTGTTAACAAAAGATATTTTCCAAAAGACACTTAATCTCTTCATCTGCACACTAGATCAGTTTTTGTTGCTATCCAGGTGTTACAGATAGAGTAGAAGTAGGTGTGGAAAACTGGTTGTCATGTCCTTTTTGCACAGCAAGATGAGACATGAAATTATCTCTAAAATCAACCTTCCTGATTTCACATCCATTGCTGTGTGTTTTATTGTGTATAAAGCCAGGCAGAGTTCAGGTGTGTGCGCACAGATGCACTTCCATGCTTTGTGTGTTTGTGTGTGTCAGGCCCCCACACAGAAAGCCCCTCTTTGTGCCATGTCGGAGGCAGCCTTCCTAATCAGGGGTCATTACATGAGGTTAGTCCTGGGGTCTCAGGGGAGAAGAGAAGGGATCAGAGCTCAGATTAGACCCAGACGACCCCTTGCCGTCCCCAGGCACCATGGCAGCGAAACCGAAGCCTCTCCCTCTCCTCAAAATGAGAGAAAATGAAGCTGATTTACAGGAAAACACGGTGGGCTCTTTCTCAAGCTTTTTGACTTGTGTGTTTGCGCATCAGGTGAGCAGGAGAGGAAGGTTATTACCGGTAATGGTTCTCATACACACAACACAGAGGAAGGGACGGTAGGGACGGAAAAACTGATAATCGAAGACAGTCTCCTTTCGGAAGAGAAGAGGGTGGAGTGATGGAGAAGTCATTCTCATGCTTCACTCGGCAAAACATGCTGATAACACTCAGCCTGAGGGATAGTTTTACACCAATCCTTAGATTCTGAGTCAGTCTATGCTTTTATCAGATGTGGCTTTTCTGCTTCTAATACTTGAGCATCAATACTTTGCATTTACCATTTACTTTCCTGCTTAGAAAGTTTACATTTCATACACTTCCAAGGACTCGTGTTTTAAACTGTTTTTATTCTTACAGTTCAGAATCTCTCCCACTCTATTTTTCCTTTTAAAATAATGAAAATACTCAGTTGAGAGACAAATGTTGACTTTTACAATAATGACAGTGTTTGGGATTAATCCACATTTTTCTCATAGTTAATTTTTAACTTGATCATCACAATATCAGCACCTCTTTAAGCTTTTGCATCTAAAATATGAGGTCTAATATAGAAGATATTTGGTATGGAAGCATGGTATTAAAACATAGATCCAAATGCCATACATTGATTTGGTTCAGCAATTTAATTCTGTATACGTAGTCAACTTTGTAGTTTTCTGCTTTGAAAAACCTGCATAAATATGAAACAGTTCAGATTTTAGACTGATAAAGACCTGCTTCAGTTTTGTGTTACTTAAGTCTCAAAATAATAAGCTCTACGCAGGAGTTTTTAAGACCTTTATCTACTTTATTTGCTTAAAACTAATCTTGCGTAGTAAGTGATATAAAAATGTTTGAGCTGCTTTTCAGTCTTTGGCAATTATAAGCAAAGTAATTCTAATATGTCAACATTTGTGTCATTTTTCTGCCGCTTCTTAATAAAAGCTTTCTATCTTTTTAAATTTCTATACTTTTCCTGTTTTTCTGTATTTTTAGCAACATTTAAGCATTTGAGTAAAAATTTCACAGCTTTGCAATAACATTTATAAGATTAACACATGTCAAATCAGGAATAAATAAATCTGCAGAAAATTTGTATTTAATTAAAAAAAAAAGGGCTTGCACAGTTTGATTAATTATTTATGTGTTTAAAAAGCAGGGATCCGGTAGTATTGAGATGGAACGGTCCTTTTTCTGATTATATAATATAAGTAAATGTTGTGATGTCACATATTGTAGATAAAACATGTGATTTAAAATGAGCTCAGAGTAAATATAAATATCTCTTTTAAATTTTCACCTTAATAAAAATAAAATAAGTTACAAAGATTGGAAACTTTCCATTCTTATGTATAATTTCTTTAAATAAAAAACAAACAAAATCAAAATTTAATATAGGACTGCTTTAACTGGAAATGAAAATGTGTCACGTTTTCTTGTAACAACAGAATGTAAATCCTCAACATTCAGCCTAATTCACTATTTAGGCATTAATAGCAGCCGTTTGTCGATTCTGCTTTTAAAAAAACTTAAAACATTTGGATTTTCTTTAGAGTTTTACCTCCATTTAATTTAGAAGCATATTACTTCAGTGTAGTATTGCTTTTTCAAAAGCAATATTCTTTACCTTTATGTGATGCATTATATGTGAACAATGAGCTTGGTGAAACTTTTCAGTTGCATCAAACTCATTTCTGCAGCTTCAAACAGTTAAACTGATCAACCCTCAGTGTTTGAGAGTGTAGGCTGTGTGCTCTGACCTTCCTCTTCTTGCGATGGATGTCTCCGATGCTGTTGGCCAGAGAGTTGGGCCCCAGCAGTGTGGACGTGCTCTGGGGCCAGTCAACCGTCACCAGCGTGTGCTCCCCCATCAGGACCTTACGGACGTTCTCGGCTCCCGTCACTCGGATCAGGGGACGGCCGAGAAGGTGGGTCTTGAACACATTTCCGTACTTCTGTCTACGCGATGCATGAAAGCCCGAACCCTGCGGGAACAGAACAGAGAAACCAAAAATGTTCAAGCTGATTGTGTTTTTTTGTTTCGCTTCAATGCAGTTTATTTCAAGGTCGGGTAAATTTGAGACTCTAACCTTAAATTTTAGCATCATTATCATCAGTATTACAATTTCTTTAAGTTTATGGGGAAAGAATAACATTTATAGTCTTTGAATGCCTTAAAGAGATAAATCCAGATGGGAGTTCATTTATATACGGTACTTAAACATTTGTGTTTTCTTGTTTTAAAACCTTCGAATCCACCCAGGATCTACTTTAACAACGGGTTGATGTAGGTTTTCAGCCATAAGAACTTTTAAATGTGAAGTAAATACTATAAATATCCAAGAGTTTAAGATTTTTAAGTTCAGAAGGTCTTTAAGATAATCTGAGCATTTTGTCAATGACTATCACTTCTTATTTTATTATTACAATTACTTATCATAAAAGATAAAGAACTAAAATACAACACTGGTGACCCAAATTGAGGTTTTCTCTAAAATTTCTTGCCAAACCTGTTCAATAAAATATATTTTCTCCCTTTTGCTATTTTGTATTGATCCACATCGTGTATTTATTCCACACTGGAGAAGCCTGCTTGCTGGTAAACCCACATGGGCCCAGACCTGGAGTCAGTTTTCTGGCTGACCGAGTGCAGCGTTGACCTCCAAATGGTTGGGGTCATGACAGAGCGAGAGGGAGTCAGAACTGTAGATGGCCTGTTTGAGTGAGCAGGACACATATCAGCCGGGGGGCAGCCTACTGTGTTACGCACACATGTAGGATGCTCAAAGCATATCTCACATTCACATGCAAGTATTCACACTTATTGTAAAAACACACACTTCCATTGCCCGCGTGTTCGGTTCCACATACACACTTTGGAGACTAAAAAGAAAGCATGCAGCGCCGTGCAACAGGCAGGCTGTGCTACAAATTGCTCTGACAAGACTAACTGGTTTGACCCCACTTTACTTCAGGGGTAAAATATATGCATGAGACACACTTACACACATGCACACACACTTTTACAATGAAATGTGATGCATGTTCAAGAAACAAGCACAACTCTAAGGGGATGTTTGAAAATTTACATCACTTTTTATCTAGAAATCACCATTATCTTGTGTTGTTTTTCACTAATCTATGAAACTAGCAGAAACTCTGAGTGCAATCCACTTTTCTAATGTCTGCGACCACCGAACAACATGAAAATGAATGCAGAAATCAGCATCTAACTTTAGCAGAGTTTATTTGTTGTTTGAGACACGCCTCTGGTAGCAGGAGTGCGTTCTGTTTGTTTTTAAATGCGAGCTACGATGACACGGCTCTCCAAGTTGCACTTCGATTTTAAAGTTATCATACTAGATGCAGGCGGGTAATCTAATCAAGGTCATCTATATTTTAAAAGCAAACATTTTCAGAATTAATAAAGCTTCCTTACTAGGTTTGAAAGTAATTGTTTCAAAGAGCAACTTGTGAATCACATGCATAAATTGTGTTTTACATTGTGTTTATATGTTTCATGGGCTTAGATTTGACCCAATCCTTTAAAATTAACTGCAGATTTGTTAAAAACCTGCAGTTCTTTCAATGTTTTGTTTTTCATTTTTGTTTTGATTGTTTCTGTGTTTTTCATAGTTACCGTATGTTTAATTGGTCTTGCCAAATAAGGTTGAGTTCATTATCATAAAAAGGCATTTCGAATCAGTTCATTCCTTCGCATTTACCTTCATAGTCTATTATTTTCTATTTTTCTCTATGCATTTTGATTTATATCTATTAGATCATATTTCTCATTTGGTCATAGCCTATTTGTGTCAGATAGTGAAGACTTACACTGCAAAACCTATATAAAAATAAGTAAAAATTTCTTAAATTAAGTGTATTTACCCTTAATTTGAGCAGTTAAATGAGTTTGCCAATGGAATGAGTCATTTTACTCTTAAAATAAGATAATTTGATAATATGCACTTGAAATAAGACAATTTAAATGTGTTTTCTTATTTTAAGTGTACCGGTAAATTGTCTTGTTTTATTGGCAAAATGTCTCTTTTACCTCCTCAATTCAAGAACAAATGCACTTATTTTAAGAAAAAAAATGACTTATCTAGATTTAGATTTTTTACAGTGAAACTAACTTGGGTTCCTAGAGAGCTGAATCTCTGATAGGTCTGTGTCATTAGGTTCATTATTTGATTTGAAGGTTTGTGGCTTTTTCTTTTTATCTTAAGTCTATGTTCTAAACCAGTAAAGAACGTATACTGTAGGTCATAAATATCAAACCCATGTTTTTAAAAATTTTACAGGCAAATGAATCACCTTTTCTTTCCTTCCTAGTGCCTTTTGACTCTAGAGCTCCAAACCATGCAGCTTATCAAACATCCCATAAAGCAGCTGCTCTATTTGCAAGCTAAGGTTTAGTGAATATTCATTTCTTCTAATGCGTATCTAAAACCATTTTTAGGTTAAATGGTGGATATTAAGAACTATTTTAAAGTATTTGGGTATTTCTATTTATGCTTCTTTGCCACTTTATTTAAGGAGCAAATATTATAATTGTTTTATCATAATTATAATAGGTGTAGCTTTAGCAACTTTATTTATTTTAGACAGTTTGTTCAAAATGTGTTAAAATCCAAAAGTGAAGATAAACTTTTTGTCCCCAATGGAAAGATTCATAACCTGAGATGAGATCTGTGGGCTCGCTGTTAAAACACTATACTGTAAGAGTGCTTGTTCGGTTTTTGTTTGTTGTTTCTTTTTGAAATCATAACTAATGATAGGATAAAAATGAATGGGCTTTAATTACCTCCCGATAAGCATCATGTGTTACACCTTAAGGGCTTTACAGTTGAGTGAAAATAAAACTTTGAAGGTAATGGCTATCATCCAAAAACAACTGAGAAAAATCTTTCATCCAGATTTATGGTTTAACATTTGTAGTTGGTGCAAAGCATTCAAGTAGCGACAAGCAAAGGGTTTTTGGTTGACAAAACCTTTAGCTTTATAAGAATCGTTCACAGGATCAAATTCATTCTTTGCTAAAAAATGGATATTTACACCTAAGCTGCAAAAAATATTTGCTACCACGAATAGAAATGATGATAAAAGCACCAGATATTTAACCCATGTCAAGTGTATGATTTGTAAATTCAATTATCTTAATGTTTCTAAGACATAAATCATTTCAGATTATTTATCATTTGGGTTTTTGCAGAGATGTTTCATTTTTTAGGTAAATAAATAAACATTAAAACAGAATGATCTAATAAAAATAAAATTTTGTTTTTTTTAAGTCTACCTTGTGTGACCTGAGTGTTCTGCATTGTTTTCAATAGAATATCGTGAAATAATGAAATTTAACCTTTCTTTCCTGCCATATTAAATAATATATAATGTTTCTTGGGTAAGAAATTTGACATTTTCAGTTAAACATTAATTATAATCCAATATATATTTTCTCAGACTAAAAAATGTATTATAGTTGTTAACTTCATGTAATTGCATACTTCAGTGTTTATGCTTTTAAAAGCCAAGTGGCTAAACAATCCCAAAAGGTCTTTATCGTATATTGATTTGATTTTTTTAAGTCTGTAAAAGTAAGGAAAAATTTAAATATGGCAGCAAATGTTTGGTAGTAAAATGCTAATTTCTCACATTGTTAGAATTGTTACTGCCTTACTCCAAATGATATTTCATTAAGCTCTTTCCTCAAAATATTACATCAATAATCCTTTTATATAGATATGGAAAACATTTTTTTTTTTCAGAATGTTGAAAATCTTTTAAAAATATAAAACGAAAGAATCTTATTTATGTTCGTATTCACATCCTATGCTTAAAACTTTGTCTATACGTCTTTAACTACAGCCTGAGGTCTTTTTGCAGATGATGCCTCGAACTTAGCACAACTTTAGGCAGTTTTACACATTCTTATTAGAGACATATCTGAGGCTCCATCAGGTTGGATGTTCACAGCCATGGTCACATATCTGTTTAATCTGATTCAGTTCTGGACCCTGGTCCGACCACTACAGGACATTCTTGGAGATCGTGGCCGTGCGCTTTGGGTCACTGCCTCCATCTGAGGTCGAGAGAGCAATAAGAGCAGGTTTTTATTTGCTGCATTCATATTTCCTTCTATCCTGACTAACCAGTTCCTGCTGCTGAAAACTTCTCAACTGCATGATGCTGCCACCACTATGCTTCCCTGTAGGGATGGTATTGTCATGGGGCCTGGTTTCTTTCAAACATGACATCTGACATTCATGGAAAAAGTTTAATCAATGTCTCATCAGAGCAGAAAATTATTATTTGCTTTGGTATAATGTTCTTCAGGTGCCTTTGGATTCAGACCAGTTGCTATACGTCCTTCATTGAGGAGTGGCATTCATCTGGCCATCCTGTCATTCAAGCCAGACTGATGAATGCTAGAAACATTTATTGCTTTTAACTTGGTTAGTTTAGTCAATCCTTTGCTTTATGCATCCTGCTGAATTTCATTAGGTGTTACCTTTCTTACAGTTAAACATCTCGTGACTCGGTTTTTTGCATAATCTTTTCGGTGCAAACACAAAAGAAGTTTGGACCAGAGATACCAGATTAGCTTTCCACTTCTTCATGTCCTCTGGCTCTTTCTCACCTTCCTGCGACACATCTCACATCTTTCTCCATGTAGGCCAAATTGAGCACAGATGCCCCAGCCTCCCTGCTGAGTCATTTAACCGTTTCATCTTGCTTTAAGGAAGAAAAAAAAACTATGAACACCAGACCTGCTTTTATAGAAGCAAAATGCAGCTAATCAGCCACTGCCAACCCAGTCTGAGGGTGCATGTGTTGTAATTGCACTTAAGCTTGTTCAGATGTTAAAACTCTATTGTAGGGTCTATAAAAATTTTATTCACACTGCCTGTTTACACCAGGGTTTTCCTATAGAACTGCCTCGGAGCTTATGTTTATCTTGAACGGCAAATTTTACGGTTCTTAG